GCGTGCACTACCACACTCGGCTAATTTTTTGATTTATTGTAGAGATGAGGTCTCGCCAAGTTGTCCAGGCGGGTCTGGAACCCGCGGGCCCAGGCAGTCCATTCACCTCGGCCTCCCAAAGGCACGGGATTATAGGCTGAACCACCAAGCCCGGCTTGTGTATACTATTTTTGACCACCTCTGTGTACATCAGCTTGATTTCATTATGACCGTTTAGGCTCTAGGTGGGAACCAGATCACCAAAAAAGGCAATTTCACTTAACGAGCCACCAGTTAGAGAAGACACTTCTGGCTCGTGCGTGTGCCCGGCGCAGAAGCCATCAGAGAAAGGGGACTTAACCGCAGAAAAGAAGCCGGAGCAGGCACAATGCTGCATTCTTCCTCGGAGAGTTTGGGAGACGGGGTCTGCAGCCAAGTCTCTGCTGAGGAATGGTGGCAGGGTGCTGGTCAACACTTGGGGTTTCTGTCAAGTGTTTCCTTAACAGCAAAAATGTGTTGAAGTCCATGTCCTGTGTAGTAAACTGCTAAATAGATGAGTCATTCGAGCCTAAAACTCAAATTTGCCCTCGTGAGTAGAGAAGCCCTCAACACTCATGCAGTAAAAATCAAGCAGTCTGTTAAGAAAAGTTAGTTTTGTGCTTGGGCGCTGAAATAAACAGCATTCCTTAGATCACCCCCAGTTTCCGCTGGATGGTTCTCGGGTGATCCTACTGGTGGGGTGGAGGGGACCCGAGCCTTTGTGGCCTTGCTCCCAAACTTGCCCACCCATTAGAGTCACTGGAGGTGCTCACCTCAATCCGAACCTAACAGGCTCTCAGGATCTGCATTGTGAGGAGGGTCTCGAGTCATTCTTACAACCAGGAAGTCTTCCAGTCCTGTTGCCGTCTTTGTCACGCACTGGAAATGGGCTTTGTCGTCGGGTCATCTTGGTCAGAGTCCCTGCATTTGGTTTTGTGTCATCTCCTAAACTGCGACTTAGACCTCGGGAGATTTCTTGGAAGCAACTGGTGTACAGCTTGAGAAGAGCAGATACTGCTACTTTTCAGATTGTGTCTCTGGCTAGCATCGCCAAGTTGGAAGTTTCCAAGTAGACTCTACTGCCCGTACTAGGAGGCTTCTCTGCAGCAGGCATCGCACCCACCATCAGGCAGGTGAGGTTTTAAAAGCTTGCCCTGGTGCGAAGGCCGCGTGCATTTCCTGACAGTAACTCCACCCACCTAGCCAAGACCTCCAGACGCCTGCACCACGTCACCTCCACCCATGGTCTGGACAGCTGAAGGAGCGTGTTGGATTCACACCGGGGACGCTTGACGTGGAGCCAGCCTCTTCCTCCCCAAGCATTCCACCCCCCCTCGGCGCCTGCGACACGCGGTGGGTTGCTGTGACGCGGGCCACGGGCGAGTGAACTTGGTGTGCAATTTAGCAGAGCTTTGCGGATCAGAGTGAGCCGGGACCCTGTATTCGAGAATTCACGACATTTGTAATTGGCTCCGAACATACTGGAAATCACCGTCCTGGACTGCCACGGTGGTGGCACTCAGTGGAGTCTTCCAATTCCTCAGGTGCTGAGCAGGCGCTCAGCTCCGAGGATGCGTGTCCTGCAGTCTGCCATCAATGCCCTGGACGATTCTGGTCACAGTAAGGTCTGCTTGCTGTGACAAGGAAGCTCACGTGAAGCCACAGTTTGACTGACGTGAGGCAGGAGGAATCGCTCCCAGGTAATGTCAGAACAGCCGGCCCGCCCTCCCACACCTCGGCCCTCTGACGGCTGGACCCAGCCCTGTGCCCTGCCCTCGCCATGGCAGCGCGGGGAGTGCTCGGCGGCTGTGAGCTTGGGTTTGTTCCCAAGATACATTTCCACCTTCCTGTGTCCACCTAGGACCAACCAAACCACATCGTGATCACTGTGAGGAGACTCATGGATACTTGTGATGCCTGCAAGTGTGGTGTGAACGGCTGCATGGGATCATTCCCAAGTAAAGCGGTTATGAAAATGCAGAATTTTCGACGCATGGCGTGGTCCCATTTGGTGAAAACAGAAAGCGGAGGGAGTGAAGGGCCAGAAGGTAAACCTGACGCATCTCTGCCTTTGCTGGGTCACGGAGGGAACATGTGCTCGTTGCACAGAAAAGCATCGAGGCGAACAGAGAACGGACTCAAGTCCCTTCCAGGACCCCCTCTCCGCTGCCCTCCTGCGTCGACGACAGTGTCCTCACTCCCTGGCCTCCGAGGCGTCCCGCCAGGCACACAGCTCATCTCCCTGGAGGTCCCGGCCCCGGTGACTTGCCCCTGCAGTCGGCCCTCCTGACTCAAGCCCCTCCTGACTGTCCCCCTCAGCCCCCGGGTTCCCATCGCGGATCTAAAGGGAGCTGACCCTGCCCTCCTGCCAGGGCGGCCACAGGCCTCCGGATGAAGACCAGGCATGGGGCCTCCCGGGTCACCTCCTCCGTCCCTGTGGCTCTCCCGCTTGCCCGGGGCAGCTCCCCACCCTGCTCCTGTGCGGTGGCCTCCCGCGCGACCGCCTCCCTGCCGACTTGCCCATCCTGGAGACGCACCCGCAGGGTCGGGGCCACGCAGGGTCGGCCCGTGGGCACGAGGCAGCCCTCATCCCGCCCCCGCAGGGTCCAGGGTACTTTTCTGTTGTGGAATCTGCTGTTGTGTTGTTATTTCTTGTCGCCCTGATAAGCTAGGGACCGGGCTCACATTGTAGGCCTAGTGTTTTCCCCAATTTCGTATACTGCCGTCTGCGCAGTGTTGCACAGTGTGATTCTGTTAACTGCGTGTGTGACGTGAGGGGTAGACCAGGAACAGTGGCTTTAAATGGGGGCCCCCAGGAAGCACCCAAGCCGAGAAGAGAGCCCGGCGTGGTTCTTTTTTGGATTTTTGTTTGAGTAGGAGTCTCACGCCGCTGCCCAGGCTGGAGTGCAGTGGCACATTCACGGCCACCCCCGCATCGACCTGCTGGGCTCCGGCGATCCTTCCGCCTCAGCCTTCCAAGGAGCCAGAACGACAGGTGCTCACTACCATGCCCGGCTCATTTTTGATTTATTGTAGAGATGAGGTCTCACCAAGTTGCCCAGGCGGGTCTCAAACCCGCGGGATCAGGCAATTCACTCACCTCGGCCTCCCAAAGTGCTGAGCCACTAAGCCCAGCCAGGATGATCTTTTTAAAATAAACATTCTAGAGTCGGTATAGACATGTTGGTTGAATGTCATTTTTCTGTAGAGTTCTGTGAATGTTTTTCTAATATTATCTCGGTTTCAGTTTTCCTCTTGTAAAGGTCATTCTCTTTGGATTCTTTGATCAAGTGACATTTTTTTCTTTTTCATTTTTTTTTTTTTTGAGTCGGAGTCTCACTCCATCGCCCAGGCTGGAGTGCAGTGGCACGCTCACAGCCACCCCAGCGTTGACTCACCAGGCTCCGGCGCTCCTTCCACCTCAGGCTTCCAAGGAGCTAGAACGACAGGCGTGCGCCACCACGCCCGGCTCATTTTTGACTTGTTGTAGGGATGAGGTCTCGCCAAGTTCCCCAGCGGGTCTCAACCCCACGGGCTCAGGCAATCCACTCGCTCAGCCTCCCAAAGGCGCGGGATTACAGGCTGAGCTCACGAGCCCAGCCTTCTTGGTTTTGTTTACAGGGTTTGCAGTTGAACATTGGAAGAGTTTTTGTGCTAAAAATTAATAAAGTTGGAAAACCACGGACTTGATGCCGCCCGCACCCTCTCCGTTTATGAGTACAGTTCCTGGGTGGAACCACACACCCGCAAATGCCTGGCATCGCTCTCCGCCTGCAAAGCGCAGGCCTGTCTTCCTGACTGGGAGCAGGTGAGGACGCCGCGGTGCACCTGCCCTGAGCGCCAGGGGCTCGAAACCGTCCTGCAGCGATGAGTCCCGGCCTCGGGACGGTAGGGAAGGATGGCTCTCCCATCCCTCGGAGTCTGACCGGGTTCCCTCGCTCCCTCCATGCCCCCGGCCTGCAGCCCCGGCCCCTCCATCACAGGCACGCCTTATGGTTTTGAGTTCTGCTCCTCCAGCAGTAATTCTGAAAAAGACAGCACTGGGCATGGCAGCTCACATCTGTAATCCCCGCCCTTTGGGGATCACTCGAGGCCAGGAGCTTGAGATCAGTTGCAGCCTGGGCAACATAGCAAGATCCCATCTCTCCACAAAGTTAGCTGGGTGCAGCGGCACACCCGCAGTCCTGGTTCCTCGGGGGGCCGAGATGGGAGGCTTGCTGGAAGTAGGAGTTTGAGGCTGCGGTGAGCCGTTACTGCACCAGAGCACTCCAGGCTGGGCGACAGAGCGAGGTGCTCCCTCCAAAAAGAAAAAGACAGGTTAGCCGGGCTCAGTGGCTCAGCCGGTAATCCCAGCACTTTGGGCGGCTGAGGCGAGAGGGCTGCCTCAGCCTGAGGGTTTGAGACCCGCCTGGGCAACTTGGCGAGACTTCGTCTCTACGTT